AAGCTATTAGAAACAATAAGCTAATAGCTTCTTGTTCCTACTAGTAAGGCCCTTGCTCCTAGTAGCAATGCACTTGTTACTACTAGCTTCTTGTTACTAGTAGCGAGGCACCTGTGACTACTAGCGTGGCACTTGTTATGCTCCCGAAGTCGTGGATGAAAATCATAGAGGAGGATTGCGTGATGTATGTTGACGTTCAGAAGACCTGAGCCGAAAGAGGACATGCAAAAATGCTAAAGCATAGTGTTTGAACTTCTATAAGGAATTATTCTTTCTGGTGGGGTTCTGTTTGGGAGGCTCATGGAGGTTGCTGACTCAAAAGCGTGGCAGACCGACCAAAGATGAGAATTTGATGTCCATTTGGTGCTTGAGGTGTCTAAGGAGGTTTCTGATGATTATTATTACTATTACTAATTGTGTTATTACTATATTTCCATTGAGGGTGTAGATGCTCAGATGGGGCCTATCCATGGTCAGTTGACAATGACAATGGAGCAGGGGTGCTCTTGGACGTGAGCAGTCTCACCTCCTCGCGGCAAAACGTCGGTTTGCAACACAGCTATGCTTGATGACAGCTTGGTTTTCAGGTCTACTTTGATGTGAAGATTGGTGATGATGCTGCATCTTGCTTGCACTTGGAGATTGCTCCGGATCGGCGACATCGCCTCAAGAAAAAAACCAAATACATTACTCCAAAAACAAGTAAACTGCCAAAAAGGCTGTTCTTCAGGAGTTTTTGGGAGCTCAAGAAGACTCTCCGGTCTTTCAAATCTATTTCGGGTGTCGTGCCGGAAGTGGGCCCCCGAAGGTCATCAAGCTGAGCTTTGCAAAGCGTGCGCTTTCGGGGAGGGGTTGGGGATCTTCCTAGGGAAAAGCCGGATCAGCTAGGCTAGCTGCTTAGCCCTTTTGGGAAGACATGAGCAGGTGGAAAGTGCGCTTAAACCGCAATTTCGGAAACTGAGGGCGTCAGCCTTTGACAGAAACTTGTAACACAGGACACGGAGGATCGAAGGCCCTGCTTTTTGACATACGCTTGATGCACTAAACTGTTGTTTGGACCCGGGATCCGGAGGTGCTTCATGATTGATTCGTTCGGCGGATGGCCGATCCACTCGCCGTGTTGAGGACACGAAGCGCATTACCATTGGCCTGTTTGGAAAGGACGTGCCCAAGACTGTCAGGGGCCTTTGGGTTTGCGAGACCAGTTGAAAGCATGGACAAGCCATCACTATAACTACTGAATTACATTGAGTTACTGAATTTGATGTTCTGACTCTGGACACATTGATATATGCAGGAGGCGCAAATTGCATGTGTCAGTCCCAAAAGAATGGGAGATTGCGTCCCACTTACCAATTGTGGCAGACGTTCACAAAAACTTCATGAAGCTTAACGTGGGGGTTTTGAAAGATTTGAAAGACACATGTATGTATCGGTTCAGAGCTCAGAAAGACAAAACAATAAAAGTGGAGAATTGCAAAAAGAACACTTTTTGATGCATAATGGAACCTTTCATATGCAGAACATCTTTCCTTCAACAAAGAGAGGGTATTCTATAATTTTCTTCCTTGTCAGTTCCTGTGACTTTCTCTCATATTGGACCTCTGCTCGCACTACCTTTGCTCACACCTTTTTGAGGTCATGAACTTCGCCCACTTGTGCACCGGCGACAAGGGCAAGGTGCGACCCGCGATGGGGTCATGCGAGGCGTGTTTGGCGTGTCTGGCCCGTTGGGGTGTGTGTGTGTATCAGGGTGGAGTCATTTGGTGTGAGACCGGGTGAGGCCGGCTGAGGCTGAGATGAATGTGTGAGAACTAACAGGCTGACAACTGACGAATCCAAAACGGATTCCAAAGGGCTGCTGCTTTTGCACGACCTCTTAGAGGAACTGGAGAAATCGCCTCCAACCTAAGAGCGATGGCCTCCAACCTGAAAGCAATGACCGCCTCTTGAGGACTTGATGAATGTTGCCATGAGGGAATGTTTAGGTCGTTGTGCTTGACGAGGCCTCCACTGGGGTACCTCTTCACTACAAGGCCTGGCATCACGTCGGTGTGCACCATCAGCGCCCACCGCACTATTAGACCGGCACAGTTCACCTGGGTTTCGTTTTCGTTTCAAAGTAGAATTAAAGTAGAACTAAGTCTAATAGCTTCTTGTTGCTATTCGCGATGCTCTTTGTTCCTAGAAGCGTTCTTGCTCCTAGTAGTAAGGCCAGGAGCCCCTAGTAGCGATGCCGTTCCTGACACCTGTCATGTGGCCGTGCGGGTCGCTCGGGATTCTTCCTCTCATATACCTTGGCTGAGCCAGTCTTTGGTAAACACGTGGGGATCCTTGTTAGATCTTGGTTGCCTAAGGGTTTACTGTTGGGCAGGACTCAAGATACGAACGATTCCGGACTCTCTGAACTGCCTCAGCATGTTCAGCGCCAGGGCTCGAAGTTCCACCGCATCATCCCGAATTTCATGATCCAGGCAGGACCTGCACTGGAGTTATGTGATGCTTTGGGAGTTGCATTGCAGTCCCCACCTGCAGGCATGGAAGAGACATGTTTCCCTCGCCAATCCGGTAGGGAGGTGGTGCAGGTGCTAAGGCTGCAACTTTTAGGGGTGAGACTCAGGTTTGTTGCGTACAAAAGGTAAGTTTCAATGCGTCGACTCCTGACACATTCAGGAATCAAGCGCAGGCTGCAGGTTTTTGAAGCAACCATTGATATTGATGCATTCGAGCATTGATGCATTTTGTCCATGAAGGGGGGCAGGTGGGTTTCGAACGGTTTCAACACCAAGATCATGGCAGATGTTCCACACCCCAACCAACGAGGGCGGCGACTTCACCCGGGGCGACGGCACGGGCGGCGAGAGCATTTACGGCGCCAAGTCCGGGTGCCCCGAAGCCGCCGAAGCGGATGGTGGGATGGTAGACTGAGCGACAGCTTTCAGGGATGGAGAGTTTGGGGAGAGGACGCTACTAAGGGCTCCTGGCCTTACTAGGAACAAGGGCCTTACTACTAGTAACAAGAAGCTAGTAGAAACAAGTGCCTTACTAGTAGTAACAGGTGCCTTACTAGTAGTAACAAGAAGCTAGTAGAAACAATATACAAATAGAATTCAATTAGAATCTCATAAAATTACTAGCAAAGGAATCTACTAGGACCTTTTCTCGCGCGCGCGGGGGGGGGGTAGGAGCAAGGACGCTACTAGGGGCTCCTGGCCTTACCAAACTCAATTACAGGGCCAGGGGTGGAAGAGCATTGGCGCAAGCGCGGTATTGCTGAATCGATCGAAGTCTTCAATGGGATCCGCCCGTAGGATTTTACCAGCATCACTGATAGCACTGCGTCACGTTTCGGTGTTGGTGAACCTTGCTAGCTCCTGGCTGTGTTGGTTGTATAAGCCTTACTTGCCCACGTTCCCCTAACTCAATAGCAAAGCCCTCATAATCCGTGGGCTGTCAAGATACTCCAGTGCTCGTGGTCTGCATTCTTTTCCGAGGTTTAACGATGAGAACTTCAAGCTCAAGCACACTGGACCTGGCCAGGGGAGCTCAGCATGGCACTGCCCCCACTGGTTGTCTAGGGAGAATGTAAGAAAACAGGTCCTTAGGTATTTGTCATTATTGACCAAAAGATGACACATTCGGCCCCTGGGTGTACAGTAAGTAGATGTAAGTAGTAAATATGGCCAAACGATTCACTGATGAACCCCTGCAATCCCGACGGTCTTCAGCTTTGACCCAACCTTATCAGAAGACCTGCTCCTTTTATTTGCATGCTACCCTTCTGAATTCAAGGCATTTATCCCAGTTGGTTCAAGTTGTTTCCATCGAAAACTTCCAGTGACACTCTATGTGTAAGTTCACTTTTTGACCTTTGCCCAAGACTTGCAGCTTTCCGATCAACAGGAGTCACAAGTGCTTTTAACAGGCTCAACGAACACCACCATTCATGTCCCAAGTTCCCTTCAACGGACTGTGCGAACGGCGGGGGTCAGAAATCTTGCAAACCCCTAAGGCATCTTTGGAAGGAAAAACCCTCAGGCACGTTCCATGTATGACAATGTCCCTGCGTCAGGTATCCTGAGCATGGCCAACGCGGGGCCCAACACCAACGGCTCCCAGTTCTTCATCACCACTGTCAGGGTCCAAGAAGCGGAAAAGCCGCTGTTTTGTTTGATATCAAGAGGAGCTAATGCGAGACAGCAAGGGGATGAGAAGAGCTGAGATATGGTACTTGGCAATCATTTCGAGCCCGCCTTTGGTTTGCATGGCATGTTCGGTTATTCTCACAGTACTGGTACCATGAAGAAACTGCTTGGACAAATCCTCAATATCCCATCACACTTTGTTTGGGATTGGTGGAGACTGTTTGTTGTTTTTGACTGGGTAAGAAGGTCTAGTCACTGACACCCGTTCTTGGTCATATCCTCCGAGTTCCTCCAGTAGCGTCCTTGCTCCTAGTAGCTTCTTGATTGCGCGAAAAGGTCCTTGTAGCTTCCCTTGCTTTTAATTGCTAATGAAATTCTAACAAAAAAATCTAATTCTAATTCTATTTTCTTGTTACTAGTAGTAAGGCCAGGAGCTCCTAGTAGCCTTCCCCCGAGACGGAGTCGCTGGGCCAGACCGTTCCACCGCAAAGCCGCTCGCATTCGGAGTGCCACTGAGGTGAAGACTCAATGGTTGGATGGGCGACACGTCGTTTTTGGAAAGGTGGTTGAAGGAATGGATGTGGTGCAGCAGGCCAGACGGAAGAGGTTTTAGGAGAAGGGATCTGGGAGGGATGAAGAGAGGTAGAAAATGGGATGAGTGCAGCTATACTTGGGCAAAGGTCTCAAGTGTTCAACTTGTTTGTCCTTTATGTTGCAGCCGAGTTCAGCCATGTTGGAATGCTGCTTGAACCTTGACGACCATAGCCTTTGCACCTCGAATTACTTGTCACCTACATGCCCTGAGCGGACCAGCTCAATTAGTGCTGTCATGAATACAATCACAACGTGGCTGTAGATGGAAGACATCCTGCACCGCCTAGAAGAGCCTTATTGAAAATACCATGGTCTCCATATTGTGGGAGGTTTATGTCGGATTATGCAGGATTTCTTCCTTTAAAAGACAGACTGGTTAAAGCATGGTTTTTCTTCCGTCTTCGCCACCTCTTGCTGTTGGTTCCCGTTCTCATCCTTCTTAGTGGTGATCGCACGAATCCAGACGGCAGGGGATCTAACAGCTAGAGCACGACTCAATCAAGCTGTGTTCATGAAACGCTTCGTTTTGGCCATATCTGACCTGACAGCGGCCAGGTTGAGGCTGTGGGATCCCAAAGCGGTACTCCGTCCAAGAAGGCACTCCGGAGCTGGGCCGACTTTTCCGGCGGTTTTTTGTCCATCCATTTTGAGGCTCCAAAAGTAGGGCAGAAGAAAAAACAGAGTTCAATTCTGCTGGTTTGGCTTGCGCGTCTGATTTGTCCCCGAGCGACAGAACAAGGCTGCCATGATAGGAGAGAGAGATGCTTCTGTGAGGAAGATCTAGAGAAAATGGTGGGAACAGCACCATTTCCCTCGGCCATCCATTCCTTGTTGTTTGTTCTGTAGAATAGACAGTTTGTTTTTAGAATACACAAAGCACTTCAGACAATAGATTAACATTGCGTAAGACTCTCCGACCATTTTGGTTCTTCAATGAGATCACGGCTTTGTGATGCATTTTCCAATAAAGCCGTCAGTATTTGAATAGGGGACCCGCCAACCAATGCGCTTTTGGCCTTTGCTGTTTCATGCAGTCGACGACTTGCCGTAGCCACCCCCAGCTTAGCGTGAGGTAGACACAACAAAACTGAACCTTGGTGTTCAAGGTCTCCAACTATTCTTCATGTTCAAAGTGGACTTGCGTCCTGAATGAAAGAACTTCCATAAACTCTCCGCTACCCGATTGTGAATGGGTAACTTCAACTTCTGTAAAATATGGAAAGTTGGGTTATGAAAACCCAACTGTTTCAATGCACCACGATGACAAGAGTCCAAAGTCAAGGACATTCCCCAGCCACTTACAAAGCTGCACAAAAATCCTGAGTTGTGAACTCAAATCAGACTTCTGATGCGTTTGAGTACTTTCCTTCTTCCAGGGAGTCTTTGGAGGGTCTCCCAATTCTAATACACACCCATATGCCGGAGGTGGAGATCGTGGACAGTGGCCTCTTGGAGGGCACCCTGGAAAGCTGAGCCAATTGAGTTCAACAGGGCCCTGGCGTATTTTTCGCCATTTTGGAGGCCCCTGGTCGGTCAGCCGTTTGGCGGCAAAGCGGCGCAACGCGGCTGTCGCGGCGGGTTAGTGAAGTGGACGTGAAGCCGTTAGACTCTTGAGCAGGCACATGTCCTGTGGATCTCTTGTTCAGGGTATGGCGGTCGGTTCCGAACTGAGGGAATGCCGACTGATCATGCCAGAGACTGCCTCCGGACCAAGGGGGCAAATGCCAAAACATGCGTGAGGCAATCAATTCAGTTGGTACTTTTTTTTGCTCATTGAGATGTTGACACAGAGGTTGCTGTCGTCCTCGTTTCAGTGGCCTTGACTTGACGGCTCAAGCTACCGAGATCGCCAGCTTCGCAACTTGCGGTCTTTGGAGAAGCAGTTGCTGCGCTTAGGTGAGGATGAGTTGCGTTGCGGTGGAAGATCGAGCTTTTAGGAAGCTGAAACGGCTTTCAGCTCAGCTTATGTGCTTAGACTTTCCCAAGACTCGTGAGTGACGAAGTTGGCATGCCTTTGGAAGTGCCAAGTGTCCTGCCCGTTTTGTCCTTTTGATGTATGAGGGAAGAACTATTTCAGAACTGGGAGAATCGTGTGAGCCATGTTACTGCTGGGCCCAGCACCACGGGACAGAAGGGCAGAAGGTCCAGTGCCTGATGAATCCAATAAAGGTTGTCGGGTATGTTGCGCTTGAATTGAGAAAGAGGTGGTGAAAAACACATGGGACAACGAAATGGCAGTGGACTGTTGCTTGAAGGCCAAATCGCAGGTAGAGTGACAGGAGAGCCTTCAAAGATGCAACAAATGGTGCGACGGCTTTCAGCACCGGTCGTGACGATGCGGTTTGCCCCGTGTGGGGAAGGTTCGTTCGCTTGCTTTAGGCTAGGCCGACAAAGGTAAAGTGAAAGATTGGGCATTTGGCAAGTGTCAATGGCCCAAGTAGTTTGTCTGAATCCAACCTTCATTGAATTGTTTTGAATGACTTTAAAATTAGAAGTAACAAGTGTACAGCAAGTTGAACCGCGCAAAACGCACGGCTGTGCTTGTTAAAGTGCGAGCATGACAGCCAAGATCAACAGAAGAGCAGCATGATTGCTAAAAGAGTTTGCATTCCTGTGAAACCTTGGGCCACTTCACATGCCAGGCCCGCGCATGAACAAGTTTTCATGTCTGGTGCTCGTAATACTCATAGTGCTTATTCGGCTCGGTAGCTTTGAGCCACTTGTGATGTTGCACAGCACCAAAGACAGAAGTTGGATTCGGTAAACCTAGGCCCATTCTCTCGCACGATCTCTCCAAAAGATAACAGATTGTATGCGAGCTGTTCCAGAAATCTGCGATGGCCCCAAAGAAGAGACCAGCAAAAAGTGGAAGGACTTTCGGCCATGTCTCTTGGTGACCAGGTTGATCTTTGAATTTGGAAAGACTCGATCAACACTGGATTGAAGATGTATTTGTTTGTTCTTTATTTCTTTTGCTTCGATTGATTTGATCACTGGGATTCTTTTTGTGCACACTTTTTCTTGCCGAGGTGGTGCCCTTGGGGTCCACGTGCTTGGTGGCCAGACATCTTCAGAAGCTTGATTCCACAAACTGAGTGGAGGTGAGTGGAGGAGAGAGAAAGAGAGAGAGAGAGAGAAGGAGAGAGAAGGAGAGAGAAGGAGAGAAGGAGAAGAGTCAGGTGCATGTTTGAAGCTTCCAAACCTGTCAAAGACAACAGTGCAATTGTTGAACGGCTGTAGCTTTGAAGGATTTGCTGAACCCTCAGGAACAAAGGTCTACGAGTCTGCAAATTTCCCTTTGACTGGATGTATTCCACGCCCTACTTGGTGCGCCATGCGTTGACTGACAACTTCAAGGTGTTTCTTGACCCCAAGCAGCATCCTGGAGCAAAGTTGACTTCTGCTTCTTCATTTGCTTCTCTTTTTGCTTTCCCTTTCCTTTCTTTCTTTACCTGTTTTTTTTGGGGGGGAATAGGTTTTCGTGTTTTGCTTGATTGAATCGTGAACTAAGGTACCAGATGAATCCCAAGAGTGATGCAGGCAAGGGAAGCAAGGGAAGCCGAAACAACAGGCCAACCTGAAAAAGCAATATAGATATATACACATTTAGAATATACAATATGTTGTGCGTTTTCTTATTTAATTTGAGGAGAAGTTTAAAGATAAGTTGGCCGAACTAACTAACGCCACCAATCCTCGCAGTCTGTGCATGCTTGGGCACATCATGACACTGCAGATGCGCTACCGTGTCAGCCATCTCAAGGACACCGCAATGTCGGCACGATCCACAAGACCTATCTCCGAATGCAGGACACGAAGGTGGGGCCTGATGAATAGCACGAGCATTTTGATGCAAACGTGCACGTCAGGTCAGGAAGGTGGTTTTCCCGCATCATCAGCTTTGGTCTGGGTCTCCTCAGTGCAAAGAGTTGCGGAAGTCGTTCCTCCGTGCAGCCCAGCGTTGTCGCCAAGTGCTCCGTGCGCCGAAGGGCGCAAAGGGCCCGAAGGGCGCTCGAACGCTCTTCGTGTGTGCCTTGACCATTCGCAGTAGAGAAGCCTTGAAAGCTGCAAGGGATGAAGATTGGAGCCTCACAGGACGTGGTTTCTTTGGCGCAATCAGTTGAATTTGTTGGCCTGAGTGACTTTGAGTGATTTTAGGATAGGTGACTGGGTGTTTTTGTGCAAGGCAAGTGTCCGATACCAGAAGAAGGTGGCCCTGAGCTGTGCTCTCGAGCGGAGATCTTGCGCCTCTTCAAGGTTTTGCAGGAGAAACTTGGCACCATACTCCCTCTTCGCCATTCAGTTGTCCAAACAGATTGTTCAAACAGGTTTGTTCTTAGCGAAGCTGAGCAAGATGCAGTTCAAAGTGCCATGTGCAAACGAGGAAATCTGCGAGACCGTTTCATTTGGAAGTGGTTTACCTTTTGACACCGAGTGCTGAAAAGAAGGAATCCCGTCCTTGCCGGAAACGCGTTCCTGAGCAAAAGGTTGTCACAGTTTTCTTGTTCTTAGAAGTGGCACCTACCACAACTCCCAAAGTGTCGGTTGATTCTTTGGGTCAATTGTGAAGTGTGAAGTCCTACACCAATGAGGTTTTTCAAAGGGAAAGTGGGAGGAGATCGTTGAGGATCACTGAGCTGAAGCTTGGCTGTGAGAGCTGTTTGTGTTGCATGTTGATGCCGTGAGTGCCAAGGTATTGCAAAGGTGACAATACTGGCTTGGTCTTCCCTGAGGATGAAGATATGCTGGCGTTTCACAACATAATCACAGAATCCGGGCAACGAAACTTTGTTTGCAGTGAGCCACTTCGTGTCAAATACTGTGCTGGCACGTACTGCTACACGCCTGCTTTTTCTAGAAAAGTGAGGATGCGGATGCCACACTGTGCTTTTCCAAGGAAGGTTTCCTCTGCCTGCTTTTGATGAGGATAGGGAGGCAAGTGTTTTAGTGCAAAGGGAAGTACAAAAAGAGGAGGCTCTCGTTGTCTTCGCAAGGCCACTGGCAAGGCTGTCAAAGCCCAAAGGAGCCAACAGCCACGGAATCAAGATTTCAAGCGTGCTTTGGCAATGCAAAAATATTTGGTGAAACGACAGATTTAAAGAATGAAATTGGTTCTTTCGGTTTCTTCAAAGGTCTTTAAGGTTTGGTGGTTATCCTTGTGCCAAGGCAAAGAATGGCTCAAGCAGAGGCTGCGATTTGTGCAGAAAAACCCGAAGGTGGAAGGCTCCTCTGCACACCAACGCTATGAACGGTACAAGAAGGTGCGAGAATTGAGTGACATCGCATTTTGTGCAACAGATTTGCCAAGAATATCGTTTCAAGACATTCTTGTCTTCATGTAATCACATATTTAGTTTCTTGTTTTTAATACACTGTTCAGAAAAGAATTCCGCTGCCAAGTTCTTCCTCAAGATGTTTTTCGGCCCAATGCTTGATCCCGACTCAGGCCAAAACTCTGCAAGAGTTCTTCAACCTTGGAGGCTGCAAAGGAGATTTCCACAATGATCAGGCACATGGCTTCCTCTCGCTCAGGTGAAGGAAAAGTGCCGCCCGCGCCGATTTTGTCTTCAGGGTCGCTTTCAGGTTGTACGTAAAAGCGCTTGGAACAAGGCAATGTGTTGGAATCGTGGTTGGATTGCAATCCAACACGCACTTGTGCACACTTGATTGGCCAAGCAAAATAGATCTGACAAAGTTGGCCCCAACTTGGGTGACTGACAGTTTGGAGAAAAGCTGGTAGGAAGACAGGTTGGGAGGAAAAATTGCAATTCTCTGCCTGAGCATCCAGATTGGATCGTGATTGCAGAGCACAACCCTCCGAACTCCAGGACAGACAAAGTGCCAAGCATGAACATCATGCCGGTGATTGCAGAGGTAGAAACAGATAAAGAAGAAGAAAATAAAGAAAAAGTGAGAACAGATGAGTGTCTTAATGTGCAGGAATTTGACCAGGGACCGGTGGTGGATTGCACAATCGCGTTAAAGAATGCAACGATAATGGTGTCTCATCCAACTAACCAGCCACACACGACGACGAGGATGACTACGATAAGCTCTGTCGCACTCGAGAGTGCATAGAGCGCCAAAAAATTCTGCACACCACGGCCAAAATGAGGGGCTCTGCAAGGCAACCCGTAGTCAAAAAATGCAGTTCAGCGATGTAAAACATCCACGTCACAACCATCAAGATCGCCGAGGACGCCACCTCTTCGGCCAAAGAAAGTGCCAGGCCGAGAAGAAGCCTTGCGGAAGCTGACGTTCTCGTAGCTGAAGGGTTGGAGATCGTTCGCAGCCAAAACGCCATCACTTGAGAAGGCGAAGTCCAATCTGAGGTGCCAAACCTTTTCCATTGCTTCAGATTCCAAGGGCTCACAACTATCCCCAAAACCTGACCCGCGTCTGAGCAGCAAAGGTATTCCTGGCCACAGTGTCAGCCAAGGCACTAACAGCCGGGTCATCACCCGTAGAGTTGCGGGCCTTCTTGGGACGTTCATTGGACATTGAATCCTTGGATTTGACATGTTCATCAAAGAGCTGCTGCACCTCATCCATAGCAGCCCCACGAAGATGCACAGTGAACTCATGCCAAGTCTTCTGCTTGACATCCTCAACACAGGTTGGGCAACAAGCTGTTCCGAACGCTCGAGAGTCTGGAGGCGCTTTTTGAGGTCCGCGATTGTCATCACGAATTGCACAACGAAGGGCAGGTCGCAAGTATTGAACAAAAATGCTGTCGTTGAACACATATCCTAGTGACTTACACACGATTCCGTCCTCCTATGCACTGCAATTCAACATGAAGTTAACAAGAAAAGGATAAAAATACCAAGGGCTGAATGCACGTCTGATATAGAGAGGAGTGTTAACTCCATAACAAGGATAAAACAAAGCAAATCTGTCATTTGCCTATCTAACAACTCCCAACCTAGATCTAACCAACTATTATTTTCCAACCACATGCCGACCCATCCACCATTTCAATTGATAAAAGGAAATTTAATGTGCGAAATTTCCGTGTTACGGACATTCAAAACCTGTTCATTTACAACTCATCAATACACCACTCATCATACACCACTCATTAAGACACTACTTATTACACACCATTCATCATACACCACTTATTACGCACCACTTATTAATACAGTACTTATCATACACTACCTATCATAAATTACTCATTAATACGCTAGTCATTATATACCACTTTTCAATTATTATTATTAGATATTATTTATTATATACTACTTATTATATACCACTTTCATTCTTACTTTCGGATATTTTTTTATATTTATTCTTACACTTACTCACTCTTAATTTTATCTTTATTTTCATACTTCCACTTATTTTTACTCTTTTTTATTCTTATTTACTCTCTTATTTTTACTCTCATTTATTCTCTTATTTATCCTTATACTTCTTATTCTTGATTATACTTATTTTTATTTATACTTATTCTTATTCTTACTTATGCTTATTTTTATTTATACATTTATATTATCGCTATAGTTATGAAATTTTTATTTTTATCGTTATTATAACTTCTGGATTTTAATACGTCTAGATTTGATATTTTTTGATGGGATATTTTATAATTGTGTGTATATATATTATATATTGTATTAATGCGAAATAAGATTTATTTTATAGTATATTATATATAGATATTTAGCTCGTATGATAACGGAGTTGGGAAGGTTGGCATTTTGTTAATTGGAGTTCCTAGACCTTTTTTACTTCGAGCTCGCCGAGCTTCTTATGCAACTGATGGGCTAGTGATTGCCTGAGATTACTTGGGGGAGTTGCGAGCACCGGGATGGATGAATTAAAGATGGTTGGCTTGGCCTAAGCGGTTATGGTTGCAGTAAATGCAGCGGCTTAGGCAGCTGTATCGAGCGGAGGAGTTGGAGCGAGTGCAGGGTGGAATAGAAGAAGGGATTTTGAAACGATATCTGGCAAAATTGATCTTAAGATTTGGAACTTTTAATCTAACAGACAGGGAATAGGAAGTTCTGCAATGGAGAGATTGGTATTGGACGGTTAAGTCATACCTGGTTGTTGTAAATTATGCCTTCTAAAATGAGTTGGAGAAATTCGAACTTAGTTTTGCAATAGAGGTTGATTGGGAATTGTTGGATAAAGATGATTAATGAAATTCACAAAGTGCTATACTTGCTACGAAATTTGTACATGTATTTTCTTAAAGCGTAGCGCCTGCTATAAAATCTGTATATGGAGGTTTATAAAGTGATATAAAAAGTTGTATTGTCGTGAAATCTATATATTAAGAAACGATTGAGGAATTTCAATTTGAATATTCTTATAAAGATTTTTCCTGTTCTATAGAGCTCATACCATTTTGTAAGTGATATATGGGTTAGGATATATATAATATTTGGTCTTTCTGGAATTGTATTTGGATATTTTTTGCCTTTGGGATCTTGAAATTTCTGAAATTGTAGGGGCTGGAAATTTTTTGGATTTATTCTTTAAAATTGGATTTTTATATCCATCTGCTGATGGATAAACGCTTCTGTTTCATTCATTATTCTGCCCGGTTGGAAACTTGTAATAGCGCTGCTTGCTTGAGCTTGTCTGTAGCACTACCTACTGGATCTGTAGATGAAGCGGGGCTGCGCGTATGCTGCTTTAATTACCAATGACATTTGGAATTAAGTCGGCATATTTTGAAAACCCAATTAAGTGCCTGTACCACCTCACGATGATACCGACTTTGGACTTCATTGGGACTTTTGCTTTGATTATGGTTTTATTACATCATCATCATTCCAAAATGTAAGTTTGATGGAATATTAGATCCTTTGATGAATCCGAGGTTTTTAATGTATATTATGGATTATTTGTAGATTGCGCATTCATTTTGGGTGTTATAATGATTGTATTTCCTGGAAAGAAGAAAATAACTTAGGGTACGAATGGTAAACAGATCCTTGGATCCTGCGAACAACATTATGTTTGGAATATTAATCCGCACCACCATCGGTGAAAAGAATAAAGGAAGAAAAGTTACGGGACGTGATCGGTATCGTCTCATAATCGTCGTTCTGCCGACCTTCCCCGGATTTTTTGTGATAGGTGCAAGTAATTCAAATAAAATTATTTCGAATAGTAGTTTCGTGATGCGGGGGGATTCAACACTTTCATAATACATTATGAATCTCGAAGTGCAGATTTCGTGTTGTTTATACTTATAAAATTGCTTCAATTATTTCATTTTGTCCTTGCCAAATTTAAACATAAGGTAAGAAAAATAATTGTGTAAGAACAAATTAAATTCACAAATTCAAAATTTTGGATGATCAAAACATCAATTAGATGGATATTTCATACAAGATTGATTTGGAATCTAAAAAATATAATATAGAGGTCTATATATGTAATGAACACATAATATAAGATTTCGTTGGCCAGGCCGGATCATGCTGGGAATCGTCCCTCCGATGTCAGTTTTCTCTTGAAGTCGGATTTCGTGGAGGTTTTGTGAACTTCCATGTGAAGATTTCGTCCCAGGCGTAGCACTTCGTAAACCTCCTATGCACTAATATACTCATTTGTGGCGAGATCTGTTCGTTCTTGTGACATCGAAAAAATCACTTGAAATTGAAATCTGGCTGAATTTTGGAAAAAAAGCATGGAGGTTCACAAAGTGCTGTGTCTGCATGGAGGGTCACAGACAAAGATGAGAGGTTGAAACGAAAAGATAAAGGTGGCAAGACCATTGGTGTTGAAAAATTCAGCCTGAATTGACAAGCTTCACTCCCTTCTCTCAAGTCGAAACTCACTGGCTCTGGCGCCTAAACTTGCATCGCCACCTCCACTTGTAGTGCTTGTTGCCTCGTGATAAATGACGTGGTTTGCATGCCCGCCCATCTGAGCTTCATACTTCCCACCAGAAGTG